ATTTAATGCATCTCATTCCTTTACATTATCCAATTCATTACATAAGAATAGTAGTTTTTAATATCTCAAAATTCTCAAAACCAATTCATCTAAAAAGGGTTATCTTTAGAATTAATATTTGCATTTAGGAGTAGTTATTAGTTGTGTTAAACTTAAGACTTACGTTTAGGAGTATCTTTTAGTAAAACCTCTTAAATCGCACTTCCAAACTAAGGACTAATAGTAGTAGATTAGAATTTAACTAAGGACCTCTTACCTCGCTTCCCTGTGGGATCGATAAACGGGACTCCACTAGAGCCCTGTATTACTTGAGCGATACGTATACATGAGTTTGAAATAGTGACTTTACAAAATCATTATAAATATATAAATCTGGGTTCATAAATTCTTACATATTAAAAGTTGCATCAAGTTTTTGACGTCATTGCCGGGGTTTTAAATTTTCTAGTAGTGGTGTCAAATTCTTGTATTTTTAGGTATATAAAAAAAGTCTCATCAAGTTTTTGGCGCCGTTGTCGGGGATTTAAATCTTCTAGAAGTGGTGTCAAATTCCTATATTTTTTAACATATATAAAGTCACTGTCACGTCGCTTCTTAGTTGAATCGATACTGAGGTTTTTAAAGAAAGTCTTATATTACTTGAAGAAATACGTGCACTTGCGTAGAACCCTTAGTGTGTGAACTATTTTCTATATTTTATAACATTTTGATTTTGCATATTAGCTACTTAATATAAATTGGGTTAAGTTTTTTGTCATATTTTGGAAGCTACATTTTTTGAAAGCTAAATTACTGTAGGGTTAAATTTTTGGCGCCATCTAAGAGGAATTAAATTGACATAAAACACGCAGAAAAATTGCACACGCTAGGGGCCCATCATGTGCACCTCAGTTTGAATTGGATTGTACCAATTCTGATAATATGGGTCTGCCTCGTTGATCCTACTAGTTTCACTATAAGTTTACTGAAATCAGACTTTTGATTACATTTATCAAAGCTGAAACATTTCCTACTAAGAAATGCCTTGACATCCATGACATACCGAGATTTGTGCTTGATTATGGAAATTTGTTGGTGTATTAATTTTTTTTAAAATTATGTTATCCAATAGCTAATTATTAATTAAGATATTATATCATTAATAAGTTTTATCAAACTAATTATTTATTAATAAATAATTAATATTTATTAATTAATAATTAATTTGCTATTATACTAATTAATAAGTATTAAAAATTTTGTTAAATGAATTAATTTTTAAAATGAAATTTATATTTATTAAGTAACTAATAAATAAGTGTGTGTATTGATAGTTATTAATTGCCTCCTCCAATGTAATTAATTGTTATTAATTAATTACTAATATTAAGATGCAAGTCCCCAACCACAGACTCAGCTTAATGAGGATAGAGGGGGTCTCTCTCACTCTCTCTCCTTATTTCAACGGACTAATAAGGGTCTGTTTGGGGTAGCTACAACTTCTTAGCTTTTTAGCTACAGTTTAGCTTCCCTAGAAAGCCTTTGTGAGGAAGCAGCTGCGGGGAAGTTGACTGGTTGTTTGTTGTAGTTATCTGAAAAAACAGTTGTGGGGTAGTTGTTTCGGAAAAAATGACAATTATGCTCGTGTTTAGTAAAGTTTTTTAAAACACAACAAGGACGACCATATATATGAAACTTTTAAAAAAAATTCACTTCAAAACAATTCAAAAATTTAGATGCACATCTCACTTAACAGTTAGTATCGAAAGTCCTAAAGAAAATGAAAAAAAACCAAAATTTTGTTTTTTATTTGCATTTATATCACCCAGGCCTTTCATTTATCTTCAAAAATACCACTATTTTAGCTTAAATGCACCTTTTATGCATGTACATGATGACATATATGTGAAAATTAAGGTTTAGCTGTTAGATATGTAAATTCGTGTTCTTAAAATCCATACTATATATGTTGTTTTATTTTTCTGTAAATTGGAAAGCATTGAACTGAACAAAACCGAGATGAGCTAGAGGTGTGAACAATGAAGCAAAATAGAGATCTAACCTTCACTAGGAGAAATTATTCACCTTGGTTGAAGCCTAGTGGATTAATCACCTAGTTAGAAGTGAGGGAGACACACTAGAGTTAGGCTTGAGTTTGAGCGAACATACTTCGCATGAGAAGGCAGGAGGAGAATGGAGGGAGTGACGGAGTTTGGGCGTGGTATATAGGTGCACAGTAAGGAGACAATGTTGTGTATGACCGCGAACTAAAATGCAATGGAAGCGATGGAGGAACAGACGCGGGAGACAAAGTACCTTTAGTGGCTAGAAAGAGGAAGCAAGTATCGTGAGCAACCTCGGAGAAGAGGAGGAAGAGGAGGAGAGATCCGGCTTCCAACTTGGTCACGGGGCCAAATGTTTCGAATAAGGAGGGCATGAGGGTAAAAAGTTGAAGGGGAAAGCTGTACCGTAGTTGACTGAAAGCTTTCCTCCTTCCAGGTAAATCGCGGCAGGCCTCGACGACACCGCCACCCCAAACAACAGAAAAGGGTTGTGCGGTACCGCGCCGCTGTTCTGTTGTTGCCCCAAACAAACCCTAAATCCCTAAGGGTAGAATCACGACCTACAGAGAACCAAAACTGGCATCTTTCTTCTTCAGCTTATCTCATGCTCGAAACTTTGAAGAAGGTGAGGATCCTCTTCTTCCCATGATTTCGCCTAAGATTTCTTTTCTTTGCGCTACCTACAAAGAGAACCGAAACTCTTATCTTTCTCCTCCTGCTTATTCTTATCTTCTGGTCGAATCTTCTAGGAAGGTGAGGATCTTCTTCTTCGCATGAGTTCCCGTGAGGATCTTCTTCTTTCTTCATGAAATAGCGATGGCGATGTGCAGTATTAGACATCTTAAAATTTTTATTTTTCATGTTTTTTTTTCCTCGTGCTACCGTCATAAACCTACTCGAGGAAGAGATTCCCAAAAGTCGAATAACTGAAAGGGGCGTTGGAGTTCGCAGCAAAACAAGACAGAAGAAGAAAAGGTACAAGTTTTTTTTCGTGCGAGGGAAGATTCGATGGATGCCCCATGTAAGGTAGATCAACCAAGGAGTGATAGTGACAAATTTGATGTACTTAAAAGGGGTTAATAAATAAATATAGATTTTAAGGTGTTAGATATATAAATTAGTATAATTTTAATGATATGTATGTAAATCTTCAATAATTTTAATTTTTTCTGTAAAACTACAATTTTCACATTTTATGAATTATGAAAATAATCGCGAAACTCAAACTCGATGGTATGTTTCAAACAATACTTAATTAGCTTTTACATAAATAACATTTAATTAAAAGAAATAATATAATAAATTGATTATATTAAAAAATATTGTGATAATTGGGCTTGACATTGATCCAGTAAAATCAGATGTTCAATATTAATGATTATTTAACTGAGCGTGAACCAAAGGTCAAACTAGCTGACTTGATAAATATTAAAATTATGTGAAATTAATCTGACTAATAAAATAATATACATTAATAAAAATATTATCAAATTAATAAATAATCTGTTAATTTAAGACATTTTAATTAATTTGAATAATTTGAAAAATAATTTAAATAAAAAATTTGAGCCATATTTTTTCTATTTTTAATTAAAATATCTTATTTGTTAGTGCAAAATAAAAAATTAAAATTGAATAATACCAGAACTTGCTGGTTCTTTGAAAATCAAAATAATTCTTTAAAATTTTGATCCGTTCACGTGTTCGTTGTTTCTTACACCGGTTTTCAGTCGTTTAATCTCCACACTTTGCATAAATGATTTTGAGCTTGAACAAAACCGGTGAAAAGACTCTTGACAATTGAACCTATCGAGCTGGCTTGTCCGGTTTGATTTTTAATTAAAATCATGATAATGATACTATGTCCTCTAATATTAATACATTAACATATTTAATATAACAAAAATACTAATAATAAAAATAATTTACTATATTTTTCAGTGTGAAACTAAGATTATCATATTTAAAGCTCCAGAAGATAATTGCTTAGCTTAAAATTGATGTTATTTTCAAACAGCATTTAATTAAACTCTAAGAAGACAACATTTAATTAAATAATATAATGTAAAAAAAAATCAAAATGTAAAAAACGTATTCTCTAACTTCAAACATAACAAAAACCACCAAGAGGTAGTTTTGAGAACCTCATCAAATTGCATTATAAATTCACTATAATCCTATGCTGGTGAGTCAATGATGATCGAGCAAAACTTAGCTCTAAAGTCATCTGCCCAACTGGAGAAGAAGTAGAGACATTCTTACTTTGAGAAAAGGTTATTTGGAAGCTGCTAACGGTCACTTATTGGCCTATTTAATACTCTTTACGATAAGCGATATAAGCTTACAGTTACAGATGTAACTGATGCCTGAACGACCACCACAGCCCTCCTTTTTAATAATATGAAAATATATCCGTTTCTAAATCAACATAAATTCGATTACAGCCCTAATTATTATACATTTAAACCCAGTTATTGCACAATTTTAATCTTATATGCCAAAGTAAATAAGAAATTCCTCTATATAAATCCCAGTTCAAATACAAGTCCATCACCAACTTTTTTTTTTCTGAGAAATAAATTTCATTCCTCATTTGATCTACAGAAATGGCCACCCTTAGCTCTCTTCCTGTCGTTCTATCTCTATCTCTGATTCTCTTCTCGGCCATTCCTGGTAATCCATATTTTTTATTTAAATTTTTGTCTGCATCATTTTTTTCTCAATTTAGCAGTCCAATATTTCTTCTTAACAATTGGTTTTTTCTTTTTCTTTTCCCTACCAGAAACAATAATGGTGGATGCATGCCATCCCTTTCCTCAGTTGGTAAATAGATAAATACTTGATTTCCACAGTATTTTTTTTTAATTATTTTCATTAGGATTAAAATGTAAATAATGATCTTTTAGCCTGAGAAAACATGGTGTGTGGCCAATCCTTCAGCCAAAGAAGTAGACCTACAGAACAATATCGATTTCGCCTGCTCGAAAATTGACTGCAGTTTGATTCAATATGATGGTCTTTGCTTCTTCCCAGACACAAACATTTCTCATGCTTCTGTTGCCATGAACCTTTACTACCAGTCCAATGGAAGAAATTCATGGAACTGTTATTTTGGAGGATCGGGCTTACTCGTCACCACCGACCCAAGTAAGGATCAATTTTAGCTCGAATTGAGATCTCACCATTAATAGTTTTATTTCGGTTCAATTGATAATTGGGGTTCGATTTTGTTTTGGCTGTTTTTTATTTTATTTATTTTTTTTAATGTGAATTTTTGCAGGTTATGGTACATGCAAGTATGAATTCTTTTAGATTTGCTTGGAGTGTTAAAAGATGATGCAGCAGAAGTAGGTAAAAGAAGCAGAGCTGTTAGTCTGTTTTGATTTTTGGAGAGAAATAGTTGCTTTATTTTGTATTTGATGAGTGTAGTTTTAGATTTTATAGATTTGGTAATGCTAGAATATTATGAGATGTATTTTGAGCTATGAAAGTAAAGGTTGGTTAGATTTGTTATTTTACTTTGATATGATTGTTATTTTTTTATTTTGTTTTATTTTTTTTCTTATTTGTGTGGATTATCATGATAGTTTCAGGGCTTCTGTTTTTGTGATGAGGGTAACTTTTTTAAATTTTTTTGGCCATTTACATACATACCATCCAATTCTTATATATTTTTATATGCAAAACATAAACTTCATTTTTTACATTTATGCTATGTCAAAAATACATGTCTCAACTTTTAAAATTTAATATATATATATGTATAATCTTAGATTCGCTGATTAGTTTGTAGAACATCCGCTTCGACAATGTAAGTCCCCTCTGATCTTGTGTTCGAATTACTATAGGGTGTGGTACTCGAGTGAGTAGACTTTATCGATGATTGGGGCTCAACTAATAGCCTCCGAACATTTGTTTATATATATTACTTTATTCACACGGCTAATTTTCGGAAAATACGTCTAATATTATATTTTATATAAATCCAACAGTTTTAAATGCTTGTTTTATGAGCGATGAGTGTTAGTGCCTACCCTCATAGGTTAAATTTGAAAATTTAATGATTAAAAAATATAATTTAATCATTTGTCCCCTCTAAATTATTTTATTTTGCCCCAAGCACATATTCAGGTCGTGACTTACCTGAATGTATTAATCGAAAGCCTACTACACAACCCATTTAAACTTTTCTTTTATTCAATTTCTATGATCCGAATTTACATAAATGCTAAACAAACTCAGTAAATTCTAAAATTAATGTTTTTGCTTAAAAATATTTTAATATTTCCTCCAAATTGTTGTAAAAACATGTCACAAGAGAGCATGCTCACGAGTTCCCGGTTACAGTGGAGTCCAATTTTTTTAAATTTAAATAACAATGGTATTAGTTAACAAAGCACTGTGGGATTAAATTATGTTGAACCACCCCAGAATTTTACGAACATACCAATCAATTCCTACGTATTTATATATCTAATAACTCAATTTCAAATGCTACATACATACCACCTTACCCATGCAAAGCAAGATGTATTTCACTTTTTGAAAATTAAAATTGAGATAACACAAAAATTAAAATAATGATAACTTTTGATATGATATGAAAATTTTGGATGATATTGTCTGCAAGAAAAAAGTCAGCACGAATCTTAGAGAGATCAAACGGTTCAAAGTAATGTTCTTACTAACGATCAAAATTATATGAAGCGACTGACTAACTATGTGCATTCACCCATTCAACCAGTATATCCATCAAATATAGATGGTCGGTAGAATCTACTGACAATATCACTCAAGGCTTAGGCGACCGTCAACTAGAGACAAAAGTTAATTACATTAATTGTCAAATACAAGATTCAATAGTTAGGATTATTCATGATAGTCAAGTTTACTCGGTTTTTTGTATTGGAGATGTTGTTAGATTAAGCACTCCATGATTAGAACAAAAACCTGAAACAGCCTCTAATGGGTTAGGGGGTAAGGGTAATAATGTATGTGTAAATTTAAGTCATCTATGAGTATAAATAGAGGCTATTCTATGAATAAAGGGTTACACTCATTTCTCAAGTTGACATTATCTTTCCCTCTCTATCTTTTTCTCTGTTTATGATCTAACCCTCAAGGCGTGTCAACACAAAGCCAGCTTAGGACTCAACATCCTAAAAGGTGATGCGGTGAGCGTGGAAATGCCTCATATGAGAAGTCGAGTGCTGCAAGAAGAAGAAACTAGTCAAAGAGATACTACCACAATGGAGTGTACAAGAGAATTTGTGCAACAACAAATTTAGGAGTTGGGGAACCATATGGCTGGTTCGTTTGATGCTTTCCATGAGGCAATTAATTGAGGATGAGATCAACCGCCCCCAAGAAGAAGATCACTATGGGACTTAACCTCGCGGGGTCAACCATGAGAAGAACCATCAGACCTAACAGAAAGAGAGAAGTCTCAATAAATTAAGAGCAATAAAAATCCCAATATGATGGTGTTGGGTATACACTAATTGAAACAAATTGATCAACGCAAGTGGAAATGCCACGAACACTTTTTTTGGAGGGGTCCCCTTTCTCTTGATGGATTCAAAATATCAATTCACCAGCTAAGTTTTGATCCTCTCACTTGGATACTTATAAAGAAAAAAATGATCTGACTAATCACAAAGCTACTTTTGAGCCAGTGATCAAATTTAGAGGATTAATGAAGCTATGAAGTGTCAGTTGTTCTTAAACACAGAAAAAGAGATTGCCCTTAGGTGGGTCAATAGATTCTTGGTGGAAGTAATCTCTTGTTTCACCGAGTTCAAGAAAGTTTTCATTGCCCACTTTCCCTTCTTCTAGTGGTAGAAGAAGAAATCACATGCTTTGTTGTAGCTCAAACAAAGTGAGAATGAAAGTCTCCATTTTTACTTTTTCTACTACAAGTGCAGGATTTGCTGCCGATAATTTGACAAATTGCCCTAACTCAAGAAGAGAGGGGCCTGCTTGTGAGCCCAAATTTTTGGATGAGCCAAAGGTAGAGGCATTAGATTGTTGCTCAATGAAAGAGCCGTCCAAGGTGAACGATAGAAGGAGAAGAATAATCAATGTTCATTCAGTCATTTTCATTATAAGAACAAACAAGAGATAGTAATGATAACAATCAGGGAGTTATAATCTGATTTTTTGACAAGTGAATGACTGAATATTATGAGCGGTCGTACATATATCATGAAATGCAAGGAATGACCCCCTTAGAGTCTCGATGATTAAATTGGTGGAAGCTATCGAGAACAGAAGTAATTCTTGAGGGCACCACTTATGAGAACCGGAGCTTCCGTTTAAAATTCCTACAAATGTTTTTCAGTTTCATCGGGATCATGTTCATGACACAGAGGATTATCGACATCTTCAAATTCTCGTAGAAGACAAGATTCACACTGGAAAGCTGAAAGAGTTTGTTGTTGTTGGAGCAAATACTCAGCAACTATGAAAGGCACCTGTAGAGGAGGCATCAAAGGAACTTATTCGAGTGAATTTCATAAACATCACCTGGGTTATTAATGCGGGTGGATTTAGTGTGTTAATTTTATAAATATTTTTCAATATTACAAAATACACAAGACAGGTATAGTAGCAAAATATGCAATTAATCCCAACAAAACAACTTCAATTAAAATAGTTTAATCTTTTAGTAATCTTTAAACTGTCAAATCCTCTTTAATAATAACGCAAGTATACATATCACTCAAGAAATAAAGGGCTCTAATGGAGTCCTAAATATTGATCCCATATGGAAGTTGAAAATGCTTGTAAATAAGTTCCTAAAATTATAATGTAAAGTACTATTTTAAGACTATAAAAAGTAAAGCGCGAAGTTTGAATATTAAGTAATAGGTGAATGTTAAATAAAATGTTGTTGAAAGAAAAAGTCAACTAAACTAAATGCTAAACTTTTAAAAGTAAATTTACAAAAGTTAAATCTAAGATGTTGTGACAGAAAATTCAAATTTAAGAAAACATCTTTCCTCTTTACATTGAGTATATGGTTTGTGAAAAAATTAAAATAATTTGAAAGCATATATAAAAATTGTTTTGTGCAAAATATGAGCAATCCTATTCTTTACCCTCTTCAGAGTACATAAAGAACATTGACTAATCTAAAGTTTGGTCCCTAATTCTGTGGTTAGGCTGGGAGGATACTGGCTGCCACTCCCAAGCTCCCCCTAGCTCCCACTACTCCCTCCCGTAAGGGCTAACAATCTCACATCAATTTCTAATCAAATAGACCAAATTGAGGATTTTAAACTGTAACTTTAAAATCTCTAATTCTGCATACAACAAAGTATATTTTCTTCTTTATTTACACCCAATTCCATGGATGAAATACTCTCCCATGAAATCAAATGTGATTCTCCCCATGTTGTAGAAATCATAGCCCTTTTGGAACATATGTTTCTCAACACATTTTAATATTTCAATTGGCTAGATTGAAAATTAAATGAAGATTGGAGTTCAAATCATCTTAAATTATTGACATTTAAAACCATATAAAATAAAATCAATTCTTCACAAGACCATATTTCAAAGTAGGGAGAAGGATAAAAAGGATTAATCATAATTGATGAGAAGTATACGACAAAACACATATTTCAATAATAAAAACAAGTTTGCAAAATAAAAGAAATAAAAGAAACAACTTATCTCACAATCATTCCCAAGCAAACTCCTAGAAGTTATCCCTAAGCCTTTCTCTCTTTACGAGCACTCTCAATTCTCTCTTAGAAGTGTAATGAAGAAGAAATCTCTCACCTTCCCTCTCCTCTTACAATCCTTGAAGAAAATCTCCAAGTCGTTATCTTTCTCTCTCTCTCTAACTCACGCCACACACCTCTACTCACCCCCTCTAAAACTCCTCTTTTCCAGCCCTAAACTTTCCTCTCTTTTATTAAAGGCTACTTCCATCCAAAAAAAATTGAAAATTCCCTCCAAAATTCTATCCAAAAGTCAAGTCTTTTGAAATTAAATGACATGTCCATTGATCCAAGAGACATATCCATTCATAAAAGAACCTTATTCAGAACCTTCCAAAGTGTCTAAATGCATTGAATTACTCCAAGGAGTGTTTAGAACAAGTGTCCCTTTGAAAATTCATGTAAAATTTATCTTGAACTGCCTTAATCTGTAAAAAGTCATCCCTAGTGCATCTCGAGCATCGTGCGCCAACTTTCTATCAATTGGCGCATCTGGCGCATCATGCACCAATTTGCCAAAGACTGCTTTTTTCTAGGCTTTCGTGCATCTAGCGCTATTTCGGCGCATTTGGTGCCATTTCGGTA